GGCAGGCAAAAATTCTTTGTCCTCATCATCTTTTCCACTGTGTAACATCCGGCAAGTTGTCGCAAGAAGATTTGTAAAATAGTCAAAAACAGTAGCTCTGTCCATGTTAGGGGAGCGATGTGTATTGATAAATCCAATGCCTTCACTATGAATGATGGCTTGGATCATGTTGTGGCAGATAGAAAATTCATGAAATTTGGGGCGCCACGAGTATAGAAAATCGCCATATTTGCACCATCATAAAATTCTAATCTAAATTGGTGTTTACCTTGTTGTAGGCTATTGTGGGACCTAGCTGAAGCTCTACTTATCTCTTGTGAGACAGTGAATGTCTTGAATATTTCCTATCGATCATTGAGCCTGACGCTGAGTCAAGGATCGTAAATTGTTGTAGCAGCTAATTGTGCATCTGATTGATGATCCAACGTAAGGTAAATCTGCATACAAATCACTATCCTCTCGAGGAAAAACAATTTTCTAAGTCGCCATCTATCGCATTGATCTAACATATTAACAAATTGTTTCTTCAACTGTAAATTTTGATAACAAATTATTTTCTGTAACTAGATGGCGACTGTGAAAATTTCAAGCGAGAGTAAAAAAAGTTTCCTTAAAAGGATAGTGGTGTGTGCATACCAATACTACAATTTGATTTAAATTACTAATGGTTAAAGGTATTGGAAGTGGATAATTAATGAAAAAAATATAAATTTATTAACTTGAACAACAATTGAGAACTACATCAACCTCGTGAAGATTTTGACAAAATTAATTTCAAACAATCATCAGGTAATTTATCCATTGACATGTTTAAAGTTAGACTTGGATGGTTAGTCTACTGGGTGATCAATAATAACCGCACATGTGTATTTTCGAAAACTTTTGAACGGCACGTCGGATTCCAAAATGGATGTCACTTTTGGAATCAGCATCGAAAAGGAGTTTTTTTGAGACCATGTTGAAAATTTCGAAAATTTTTGAGTTTTCAATGGAAAATTGCATTGGAAATTCGATTTCATTGTATTGATGGACTGCACAGTAGAAATTGTGCATTTTTGTTTTTTGATGTTTAAAATAATGTTCCTTAGCTCAAATTCCCGATATTACAGGTTTATCGACTTATACAATGAAATCGAATTTCCAATGCAATTTTCCATTGAAAACTCAAAAATTTTCGAAATTTTCAACATGGTCTCAAAAAAACTCCTTTTCGATGCTGATTCCAAAAGTGACATCCATTTTGGAATCCGAAGTGCCGTTCAAAAGTTTTTCGAAAATACACATGTGCGATTATTATTGATCACCCAGTAAATAAAGGGTGTAACACTTAAAAAGGCACAAATGAAGGAGGTAACAAGAAAGCTAAT